ATACTTGGGAAAACAGGAATTGCACAAACAGAAATTCAAACGAACGCCTTTTTCATCTGTCCTTGAAGTTCTGAGGTCTTGAATATCTTAAAACGCAGCGCTACACACCGAGGCTTACATGAAAGAACGCAGCCAACACGTCCTGATGAGATTGTGAATTTGTGAGCATGGAACGTAGCAAACACTGACAGGAATGTGTTTGGATGTGCGGACGCAGACACTTGTATGGGATGACACAACTGACAGCTATGTGAGTTTACACGCTTCCTGTCTCCTTTTCCGCCAAGCTCTACTCTTAAACCGATCCGTGTTTCAGTGTTTGGGAAGTCAACAGTGGAGTTCCTGTTCTTGGTTTAAAAATAACTTTGTGACTTAAATTACTTAAATCCCCCCCCCTCTCATCCTTTCTTACTGGCACTCTCCCTTTGCTTGTTTTTCTTTCCTATTTCTTGTTTTGGAACAGGCTGTGCCCTCTCTTTTTCTTTCAGTCACCTTATAGCCGTCCATGCTACACACAAGCACACAAACACACTCAAGCACATATAGTGCACATACTCGGAAGATTCATGGTGAAAAATGATGGTGATTATAACTATGATGATAATAACAGAACAAAATTTACTTCACTTTGCCAAAGTGGTTGTCTCCTTTTTAAAAACATGTTTTATTGCCATTTTCAGAAAGAGCATAGTTGTCAAAGCACAAGCACAGACAACAATGAGACGTTTATAGAGCTAGAATTACTGCTTTGCAGCTGTAGGCCTCTGCCAACCACCACCATCCATGTCTGTCCAAAGGTTTCATCACATCATCACTTTATTCTATTAGATATTTGTGTGAAATTGCCATTATTAGCACATGAATTATTAAGTTATGGCCAAAAACGTTTTTTTTTATGTCACAGTGATCTTTGACCAACAGATTCTAATTAGTTCAACCTTGAGTTCAAGTGGACCTGTTTGAAGAAATTTGCTCAAGGCATTCCCGAGATACCACGAAAATAAGACGGACGTGAGGGCACAGTGATCTTGACCTCCACAATTTAATAAGTTCAGCCTTGAGTTTAGTGGGCATTTGTACCAAAATTTGAAGAAATTCACTCCAGACAATCCAGAGATATCGCGTTTACAAAAACAGAGCGGACGGACGAACAGACAACTCGAAAATCGTAAAGCTATCGCCGGCGCGGAGGCATAAAAAAGTGAATAAACACCATACGGCAATAGTGGAAAAAGAACATAGAATACAGGAGTGCTACAGCATGTTCTTTTAGCATGTTAGCATGCTAACATTTGCGAAATAGCATTCAACGCAAAGTACAAGTCAAATATTTGGTGGCGCAACCAAAGCAGCACAGCCTAAATGAGGGTTAAAAGCTAAATCATCAGAAAATACTAGAAAGACTGTGATATTTTATATCTTATACATATATAATAATTTTTGCCTTGATGTAATATTTATTGAAGATGGAGACAGGAATTGAACTGTGGACATTGTGCTTATGTGGTGCGCACCTTAACCATTAGAATACAGGACACCCATAGAGTTTAAATTTAGGACGAGAAAACACTAAAAGGCCATCCCACGCTCAGCCATAAAAGTCAGACAAAGACAAATTACAACAACCTTCCCCTCTTGTGTGACCCCCGCTCCCACAAAGGGACAACAAAGACACCTGTCCTCTTTCATCTGAGAAGTCCAGAGTAATATTTCCAACAGTGGACAGAGGCCGGAGCTTCAGGCTGTTACGCTGCAGTGACATAACAATGCTTTGCCATTTAAGATGTACGTGTGTGTGTGTGTGTGTGTGTGTGTGTGTGTGTGCGTGCGTGTACCTGTGGTACATATTTATAATTATCTGTGTGTTTGTGGCGCATAAAAGAGTTGGAGGAGTGTCGGAGCAGGTGCGGCCAGGAGCTCTGCTAAACAAACACTCCACACCTGTCCCCACGGACACACAAAGCCACTTTTCTGTGAGCTATGAAAAGAATCAGATGTGAAAAGTGAGCCGCTTTTGTTCCACTGACCTCACTTTCCTCTCTTGTTCTATCTACTTCCTTTTTCTTCTTCTTCTCACTGCCTAATATTTCCTTGGCTCCATGCATGCGGCCTACACCTCTGTCTCCCTCACCCCCAGTCTTGTATTTCCACTGACTTGTTCTGTATCTGCCCCCCCGTCACCATTCCTATGACTCTTTTATAGTAGCGTCAGGGAGGTTGTCCAGCGAACTCTTAAAGCAGACCTGTGTCACTTTAACCGTTGCGAGTTGACACGTGTTCCGTCAGCTCGGAGCGTAAAGGTCACCACGCGGGGGGGAAACCTCCCAAGCGTCCAGTACCCCCGAGAGCCAATGAAAGCCTCCACTCTGGTGTGTTGGAAAACTGCATGTTTGTTTATTATGTCTAGGATGGAAGCCACCGAGACCGAAGTGGAAAAGGACACGCTCTTTGATGAGTCAATGGAACTTAGAGATGAATACGAAGAAAAAAACATATTTCTCTGTCTATGTGTGTTTGTGTTGTGAGGGCGGTGCATACAAACAACACACACACAAGCTTCGGAGAAGTCCGGGGTATTTTTGTTTTTTTCTTGCTTCATTTTGTCTCTGTACATGCTGGGCTTGTTTACACAGGCCTGTTACATCACCTCCGCAGACTGACAGGGAGAAACGGTTTGTGTGGGAAGAGGATGGAAGTTTGGTGAATACATAATTTTGCTCCTTGTGTAGGCCTCTGTGTGAGCACATTCTGTACACAGCAGACGGTGTGTGCTTCAGGTCAGTATTATTATCATTACAATCGAGTTTGAAACATAGAAAAAAAAGCAGTTGTTTAACAACTGCTATTCTGAAGGTGTTTCCAGAATCCTCAAGATTCTTCTAGTCGTCTGAATGGAAACATTTGCGCCATGAAAAACTTTTTTTCACCCGTTTCTCAAGTTGCAACTGTATTTACTGTCGGCATGGATAAAATCTCTATCCTTCTGTTTATCTCAACAACTACTGGGTCGATTGCTGTGAAAGTTTGTAAGAGCATTCATGGTCCCCAGAGGATGTATGCTAGTGACTTTGGTGATCCTCTCTCCACCAGCAAGTTCACATCCGTGGTTTTTAATGAAACATCTCAACAGTTATTTGATGCACTGTTATTAAATTTTGCGTGGACGTAATCACTTTGCAGACTTTTCGTCTAGCGCCACCATCAGGTCACACTTTGTATTTATCTAATCCTGACCTGATCCTTTATCATGACCAAATGGCTGCAAAGCTAATGATATTTATGTCAGCTTAAGCCACGCTTTGTGTTAAGTGCTAATCAGCAAATGTTAGCATGCTAACGCGCTAAACTAACCCTAACACTATAAACATCAGGATGTTGGCATTGCCATTGTAAACATGCAGCCATGCTGATGTTGGCAATTAGCAATATACTGTATGTAATGCTTAAAAAAAATGTTTTAATTTAATTTACAACTGGAAGCTGCAACTGGAAAATTTAGTTGAAAATATTTGTTATTATGCAACACACCCAGGTGGTTAGACGATTCTGAAAATATCTTCAGGGCAGCGGTAAGGGTTTTTAAGAGACAGTCTGGGTTTTTCAAACATCGCTGGGTATTTATTTTGTAGAAACATCGGATGCTTCAGCCTAATACATGAAAGGCACCGAATGGAGCTAGGTGTGTGTGGGCTTTCGTATGTGTGCGTCAAGTGCCTTTGGAGTGTGTGTTGCTGATATGCAAATGTGAGTATATGCTTGCCAGAGGTGCATGCAGGGGTGTATGTGTACGTCTGTGCTGAACGCACCATCATGTGACCATTTGGTTAAGTGCAGGGGGCAATTTATAGAGGATGAAGGGGGACGACATTATCTCTGTTAGCACAAATAACCGCAGGCACACCTCTGCTTAGTGATACATTTTAGGGAAACTGCAATGGCAAAACAACAATTTAACCACCCACAAGCCCTCTCACTGAATTTCTACAGGCTGCCCACTGCGTGTGCCCCATGCCTTAATGTAACGTTTGAGAGCGCCTAGATGTAGAATACGTATTTAACCCCCTCACACAGAGCATCAGTGTGTGCGTCAGCCACCAGCTCAGGTAGTGCAGATGGCTGGTTTCCTGTGTGCGTGTCTGCGGGGATGACAGGAAGATTATCCAGGCGGTGCTCACCTCCGCTCTGCACTCTTCAATGAAAAAAAACCTTCAAACCAAAGTGGACTAAATTCTCGTCTCTTTACATGGGTAGCTGTTTGTGCTTGAGAGTGTGTGTGTGTGTGTGTGTGTGTGTGCAGAGAGAGGTGGCCTGGGAACCTCTGAGTAGGTAAAAGGGATGTGGGGGCTAAAGACAGGATATGGAGGGAGGAAGAGAGAGCGACCAATTGCGCGGGAGATTATCATAATCATTTTCAACATCACTATAAACTCAATCATGCAGTCATGACCGGCTCCAAGGAACACTCTGCTCGCCTTGTGCATGTACTTTATCTGTCCAGCTCTTGTCTAAAAGTATTTTTATAAAACGGGGGAAGGAAATTCCTCGCTGTTTTCCATGGCCGGCCCCGAGTATTAATGTAGCACAGGCTAGCAGCTGAGTATATTTATTTTATTTTTCACAAAGCAGCAGCCGGGACAGAGGTATGTGTGTGAAACGGACTTTAAAGCATCAAAAATATTATTTTCGCTCAAACATAAATAAATAAACACCCAGAAGCCAGGTCCTCTTTGGAATGTAGTAATTCTGAATTTTTATGAATGACTGCATTCATGCTTGGCCACGCCCCCCCTCCCCCCCGCCCCTCCCCTCCCCGGAACCCTCAGCTCTCCCGTGTTGGAGCTCCAGGCCCCGCCCTCCTCCTCCCCTCGTTGTCGGGATACCTTGGCCGCGCGCCTGCCTCCTAATTGGTTGGAGGAAGGTCCGCGGTGGGCGTGGCCGCCATAAAAAGCACGGGGCTGATATAAAACACAAGCCTCAAACTTTGATCGATGAAAGTTTACAAGTGATGGGAGAGATTCGAGGACCGTCGTGCATGTCGGATTTATTCTCTGTGGACAAAAGCTATTGTTTCTGAGCCGGTGGAGGATTTATTTTTCTGTGATCTAAAGTGTTTTTGTTTAAACATCTTCTCTTCTATGGGAATCAGCTGACAGCATGGGGATACTGCTATTATTCGCCGTCTTGCATGGGGTGACAGTCGGCTTGGTAAGTTTGTTTTCTGTCACCGTTCTGCTCTATGTAAACACTGAGGAATACAGACTCACGTGCCCGCACTCTACCGCAACAGCAGCTCAAGCGGAGCGGTCGAGTGAGATCCTGCCCACTGTTCAGCTGCACACGAGTGATAAATGACCTGCTATACACTTCATTTCTCCGTCCATGACTAAATGTTTGATTGTATTTTTTTGCAGAATAAGTGGTAATATTTGGTGGCTTCCAAAGTGGGGGTTCGGGGAACACCAGAGGTCCTTGAGGGATGTCTCAGGGGGTCCGAGGCAAAATAGAGTATCGGGTGCTCAGAAAACATACTGCAATATACAAATACACTAATACAAGACCTGCTCTGAGAATGTCACTCAAGTAAAAGTATACAAGTATTACTGGCAAAATGTACTACTCGTACTGAATAAAAAGTGAGTTTTGTACTATATTATGATAAATGAATGTGTGAAATATAATTTCGCTGTTGTTGTTGGTCAAGGTGATGTTGGGTAGTTTATTCGGTAATAATGCATCGTGTTTTATAAGAGCATCACACGTTTAGTAAGTAAAATCTGTAATCTGTAAAGTATCTAGTAACTGAAGCTGTCAAATTAAATCAAGTGGAGTAAAAAGTACACTTGAGCAATGTGTACTTTCAATCCACCTCCACAGTTTAGACACTCTCTAAAATCTAAATAAACTCATGAAACGTTTCAAGTATTTCAAGGGGCATCTTAACCCGAAAACAAATGTCACCAATTCCCCCTTTTACAAAGTATATGCACATGAGCTTCCATCTCTCTGTAGGTCCAAAATTACACTGCGGTAATATTACCCAACAGTGATACGAATGGAGATAAAAATACACTTAAGGCCGATATGAACTCGCTGCACACTATAAGTGTTATGGGACTTTTAGTGAGGGGATGTTTCAAGTACCAACGATGTAACTCCTAAAAATGGATAGCTATTGTCACCGCATCGTGTAATGTCATATCACCCACACGAGACCCACGGGAGGGAGCTGCAACGGCAGGCACACCGGGACCTGGCCTGGGTTCAGACAGTGGCAGCACAGTCAGGAAGGGATCCCTTTAGCTGATCTGACTGTGGACAGCCAGAATGGCAGCTCTCTGTGATCTAAATACCTGCTTGGAGGTGTGTGTGTGTGTGTGTGTGTGTGTGTGTGTGTGTGTGTGTGTGTGTATGTGTGTGTGTGTGTGTGTGTGTGTGTGTGTGTGTGTGTGTGTGTGTGTGTGTGTGTGTGTGTGTGTGTGTGTGTGTGTGTGTGTGTGTGTGTGTGTGTGTGTGTGTGTGTGTGTGTGTGTGTGTGTGGCGGGAGAGGGGGTGAGACACAAAAGATGGGAGCACAGTGAATGTGTGTGTGTGGGGGGGGGGGGGACGTACCTTTCATCCCCGCTCGCCCGGCGAATGCCAAGCGGAAGGCGACAGAGGGTCACAGATATCCCTGCGGGGTTCGGGACAGTGCTGGGTATTCAGCAAATGTTTAAGCCTCGCACACTTTGAGGAATTTCTGTGATCTGTGTAACATGAGTCAAACTATTGTCCTGCTCGGTTCCAGTGCTTCCTCACATGGAAAACATCAATGGTAACTAAAGTGCTCTCTATGTCCCCTCCTGTAGGTGACTGCCGGCTGCCCGGTGGTGTGCGAGTGTCCGTCAGGGCCCGCATCCTGTCCCCCAGGGGTCAGCTCGGTACCGGATGGCTGCGGCTGCTGCAAGGTGTGCGCCGGTCAGCTCAACCAGGATTGCCATGAGGGACGGCCCTGTGACCACCACAAAGGCTTGGAGTGCAACTACGGCAACGATGTGGGCCGTACCCATGGCATCTGCAGGGGTGGGTAGCACAGAGGCGGTGGGGAAGGCTGAAAGAGAGAGGGGTGAGGGAGGGTGAGACGCAGGGGGAGCTTTTGGGTTTAGATTGGGCGTCGGGTTTAGCTCGGGGTTGAGCGAGGGAATGTGTAACTTCAGGGTGGGGATGCTGACTTCCGAGCCAAGCGGTTGGGGTTTCTCTTTGATAGGGGGGCTTCAGGTTTGAAGCCTGTGCCACGTTTAAAAAAACTGAGCACCTTCATGAGCTGCGAATGAAACCCGGCCAACTCCGGGGATTTATATAAGTAGTTCAGTGTGTACACAAACTGGACTGCGGTTTTTTTATGCGTGTTTATTTCGGGGTGTTTCTGTATAAAGGGGGAGGTATCTAGGGGTGTTGCATGGGGAGTCCCACTCAGGACAGCGAAGGGGTAGGACGTTGTAAACAAGTCAAAATTCCTTTTGGATCTAAGAATAGAGCTCGCTTCATAAATCTGGAGATAGTGTGTCCCTCCCTCTCTCTTCTGAGCCACTTCCTGTTTGATCTTTCCTTCTGGTGACTTTCAAAAACAATTCATATCTGAAAATCATGTTTTTTGACCAAACTGCCCGTCTTCTTCCTTTTCCCTCAGCAAAGGCGGAGGGCCGCTCGTGCGAATACAACGGGCGGATTTATCAAAACGGCGAGAATTTCCACGCGGGCTGCAAGCACCAGTGCACCTGCATCGACGGAGCGGTGGGCTGCGTGCCCCTCTGCCCCAGCCACGTGCCCCTGGCGTCGCCCTCCTGTCCCGCCCCACATTTGGTCAAGGTGCCAGGCCAGTGCTGCCTCACCATCGACTGCCACAGGGGCACCACCGTCGTGCCCCCGGTGCTCCGCCGACCTCATCCGCCGGCCTACCCGCCTTACCCCTTCATTCCCTACCCGGCCTACCCCTTCCCGAAGCCTTACCCGAAACCCTACCGGAAGCTGTACCCCTACAAACCCAAAAAGGAGAAGGACGCCCTGGGCAACGAGCTGGTGGAGGTGGGACGCAAGTGGGACAAGCTACGTGGAAACAAGCACATGGCGGGTAAGCGAGAGGGTGCCGCCGTGTCGCCTCAGAGTGCCGTCTGTTTCCTCCACGCAGTAAAGCATCATGTTTACGTTTTAGCCGTTTTAGCCCCGTTGATGCACAAACGGCCTCACTGTGAGCCTTTTCCTCTGCATCTACGTGTGTGTGTGTGTGTCAGCATTTACGTGAGGCTTGTTTTCCACTGGCTCCTTGCACACCAGAGGTGCTCTCACACAGCACATACCTCTGTCACCCAGCTTTCCCCTCTCTGTAATCGCCCTCTCTATGCGTCAGTGTTGCCTGTTCAGTGAATGAGGCTAGTGTGCTTCGCATCTCCGGACCTCTCCTTTACCCTCTCTCTCCCACTGGCCCTTTCTCCCCCCCCCCCATTACTTTTGCCGATCTCGCTCCTCTTTCTTCGACTCTCCATAGTTTCGCATCACCCATTGTCCTCTCACACGTCCTTTGTTTCATCTCTCGTAGCCTGGAGGCAGGTGGGAGATCAGTGCGCGGTTCAGACTACTTCCTGGTCCCAGTGTTCTCGGAGCTGCGGGATGGGCATCTCCTCTCGTGTCACCAACGACAACGCCCGGTGTAAGCTGATCAAGGAGACGCGTCTGTGCAACATTCGGCCCTGCAGCTCCATGTCCATCCCCGTCAAGGTGAGAAATGTGTGTGCAGGCTTTTTAAGACTCTCGTAAAGGGATGGATAGATTGCACCATGCTGAATAGATTCAGGAAAGGATTGTTCTTAAGGGGTCAGATTGGTATTAATATCACGGCATGTATACAGCCCCCCGCCCCTGGATCCCCCTCTGTTGCTGGAGCCCTTTCTGGTCCATTCGTTCTATTCACGGTTCTGTTGCTGTGTGGGAAACGTCCTCAGCAAGGGTGACGACTGAGCCGATTTCAGACCACGACTCCTTTGCTCAGTTCATGGTTGGCCCGCTGCTTCAACGATTAGTTCCACATTTTGGGAAACACTTGTATTCACTTTCTGGCGCTGGAGTTAGATGAGAAGATTGATTCCACTCTCACATCTTTTATGCAGTCTGTTAGCTTAGCACAACAAATGGAAACAGGGGGAAACTGCTAGGCCGGCTTTGTCCGGAAGGTGACAAAATCAGCCTACCGTCACCTCTGAAGCACTAAAGCAGTGCTAATTAAAACTGTATATCTTGTTTGTTTATTAAACCTAAAGTGTAAAAATTACATTCCTACATTTAACAAGGGGGTTCACGCACCGGACCATTTCTTGGGCGGGGGCAGTGAATTCCGAGTCTCTGCTGGGTGCCTTTTTCGAAACCCAATTTATTTGCAAAAAAAAAAAGTTATTGTTCAACTTGTTTCCAATACAACAAAAACTTAATTTACATAAATCCTGTAACTTTTAAGAGACGTGACAAAGAAATCTCCTCTCATTTGTCTGTGGGGGTTTGGAGCTCGCCCACGCCGAACCTGCGGCACTGCGGCTGTCAGCTGCACTCGCGGACTCTTTGCTCTGTGATTTTGAAGAGCACTTGATTCGCCCACTGTGTTGCTCTCTCGCATTTCAAAAATGCAACACCCTCAAAAACACTTTGCCTCTCGTCGCGAGGCTGATCGGTTGTTACGCACCTGTTCCTCCCAATGTTTGCAGAGCTGCTGTGGGTGTTAATGTGCTGGCATGTTCCTCTCAGGCGCTTTGTTTTGTTTTTCCCCTGTCTCTGTAATTAACTGCATTAACTTTGATTTTCACATCTAAGGGCTTGAGTGATGAGTCATTTAATTTTGCTGTGCGGTGTGGCGGTTTCACTGGAAAGCGACCTGCATCACAGCTGCACCACAGAAAAGATTTTTAACTGCATGACTAGGGATGACACTGGTTACTTAGTCCACCACTCTGGTCCAGACTGAACAACTATGGATTGCCTTGAAACTTTACAACACACTAAAAACTGAATCCTCTCTTCTGTTCTCCCTCCACAGAAAGGAAGGAAGTGCTCCCGCACCCACAAGGCCCCTGAGCCCCACCGCCTGTCCTACGCGGGCTGCAGGAGCACCCGCCTGTACAGGCCCAACTACTGCGGCGTGTGCAGGGACGGCCGCTGCTGCTCGCCGCGTCGCACGCGCACCGCCAGCGTGGCCTTCGCCTGCCCCGACGGCGAGCGCTTCAGCAGGTCCGTGATGTTCATCCAGTCCTGCAAGTGCAGCGACGAGTGCAACCACCTCAACGAGGCCGCCATGCCTCCTCAGCGGTGGCTCTATGGAGACACGCACAAGTTCATCGACTAGCGGTATCACCCCCACCTCCCACCCCGACCTACATTCCCTCACAATAAAACAAAAGACATCAACTTCCCCCATAGTGATCCCCATGATAGAATAGCTGTCCTTAGTGTATCTATAAGTAGACGCAAGCGAGGTGAACAAGTCGAATCGGCTTTTCTTTGAGCTTATTACGGGAGGAACGTGGAGAAGAAGGAGGAATCAGACGGGAGCAAAGTGACCAGCGCCTGCTTTAATGTAGATAAAGAGTTGTTTCTGGCCTGGCCAGACTGCTACAGACTGTGACAAAACCTTAATGCAAAACATGGACGCAACCAGCCGCCATGTTGCTGCAGTGCACCAAAAATGTCCCCTGAACTCTTGAGACTTTTGTCGGGGACGCTGGAGCAAGAGCTGACACACACACACACACACACACACAGGCATAACTGGTGGTGTTTCTCTTGTTGGGGGCGTTGATTCACATCACAGTCACCGAGCAACAGGTCCGACTGGCCACTAAGAGAGCTGGTCCGACGTTGCTTCGGAGCCAAATGTGAAACACGCTGGAATCATGCGTCCGTGCACTCCCAACAACGCAGTATTGACAAACCAAATGAAGACTCTCGGAGAAGACTTGACAGCGAAAAACTGGGGTTGTGACGGCGAGAAAATGGAGCATCTCGGATGTCTCTTCCAGGAGCGCAGCTTGTGTCTTTTTATGGTATTTATTCACTGGTATTTATTGTTGAGACAGACGTAATGACATGGTGGCTTGCCACAAGGGAAGGGCGGAGCTGCTATGTTTGGAGCACCAGCTTGGCTGAAGGGGAGGGGGTCTAAGAGAGGGACAAAACAGCTGAGAGCTGTCAGTCATGAGAGGACTCTCACAGATCCGGGGCTTGACCCCCCCCCCCCCCCCTCCCCAAGGGTCGCATTCGAGGTCAAAGCGGTCAGAAAGCTGTATCTAATGATGGACAATGAAGGCCACGGTAGAAGAGGAGGTATGTACTCGGAAAAGACAGAGTTGAACCTGAAGGGTCGAAGCTTTGTAGCATTAGCGGGGAATATGTGCATAAGGTTGTTGACACAGCTGGATTCATCCCATGCTTTGCCTCGGCAAGAAAGTGAGACATTTAGCAAGCACCAGAAGAACAAGCCTGGGATTCTGGCGCCGAGACGTCGACCGCCCGATCCTTGCGCAAATTACAATCCTGACTCTTGACGGCGACAGCGAGAGAAGATCAGCCACTCTCCGGTTTTGCTGTAAAAATAAAATTTGGAAATGGCGTGCAATGAGATAAACGTGTAATTTGTGACTTGCGGGCAAAACCGCAGGGCTCTGGGCCTGTAATCGAGCAGCACGCCAAACAAAAAAGTCCATGTTTTATAGTGGCGTCTGCTTCTGAGGAATGCTGCCGAAGGCCGTGTTGTCAGTTGACGTCAACTGACGGAGGCAGAGAGGAGCTTTACAGCCCCGATGAGGACGGGGCCACAGCGACCGGACGTCAGCAAAAACCTATTCCTAAGGACCATTTGGAGGAGAGGGAATTCTGTATTATTCTCATTTTTCTGCCATAGTCCTTTACTATGACTGAAGAGCCTATGTGGTCTCACTCAACTGGGACTCATGTTCAAGTTCGCGCACCTTAAGACAGCCTGGATTCTCTTGTGGCTAAGACGTTCTTTTTCAGTTTGCTGTGAAACTGGAAAATATTTGCATTTTCTACCATCTTGGCTACAGTAGGCTTTTTTTTTTTTTTAGCCTAAACTCCACATGCGATTGTAATTGTTCGCCATGTTGTCATTGCTGTTTGCCTTTGTAGATGCTGTGGTTTTGGTACTGCATGTCTAGTTTTGTTAAAGGACACCATAGAGCAGCTATGTACAGATGCATCGTTACCTTATTTGTAGTTCCATCTGCTGTATAAGGGCCAAACCTTTTACAGTTATACTGAAGTAGTCCATGTATAGTTTAGCATTGAACAAAGTGGGGTTCAGATCCTTTGAGCGTTAGGTGCCAATTTGAAAGCATGATGATTGTATGTCTACTTGTGTACTCTAACACCATCTGCAATGATAGTCATGCTTTTTACGGTCTAATTAAAAAACAAAAAGAAACCCGTTCATGAGTTTCTCAAATATTTCTGTTGGAAACCGGTCGTCTAGCACGTGCTGGATTTTGAAGAGTTGGAATGAGTTCATTTTGCATTTTTAATAAAGACATTTCCCCACAGTGTTCAACACCAACAGCTTTGAAACTGTACTTTGGTACATTGAGTGCGTTTTGAGCTAAACGCTAATATCGGCATGCTACTGTAAACCGGGTTGGGGGTTAGCCATGCTTACATTTGATAATTGGCACTAAACAAAGTACAGGACAATTTGAAGTGAAATATTTTTAAATCCTCAAAATACCAACAGATACACATTAAGTAACAATTATTTCATTATACGAGGGGCTAATGACAATATCATGATCAAAATTGGCAAACGCACCACTAGGATTTTTAGTGACTTCATTTATTGGAGGCATTCAATTGGAAATTCAAAGAGCTGCATGTGAGCCAAATTAATTGTCATGTCACTACACGACTTTGTAAAGACCTGCTGCAGTGGGGGGGAAAAGACAAAACACCAAACCTACTATACAAACTAGTTTGAACAATAAAAAGAGCTAAAAATCACTTTTACATGTTCCCCTGCAGCTCTGCTTGAGATTAAATTCCATGGATATGGGAGTAGAGACAATAGCCTCACAAGAGACCACAACAGTAAAAAGGGCATTTTATAAAAAGTTTTAATTCCATTAAGCAAAAAACAAAAACACCCCCCCCCAAACAAACAAACAGTAAAAGACAAATTAAAATCGACCATACCCCTCCGCCCCCAAAAACTGACAAAGGTTTGGTGAACATTGGGGAACGAGCAGAGCTTTCATATCAACGGTGAAACACGTCTACTTCCAACATCAAGGTCCATGAAGACGAGACTTCGGCTTGGCTGGAGGACTCATCTGGACTGCTCGACTAAAAGAGGAGGAGAGACGAGTTGAGCGTGTAAAAGATCAGCGCGGCGAGCGACAGCTGAGCATACCAACTTTTCAGCAACAGGTTAAACGCGTGCGGGCAGTTTCAATTTTGACGAGAGCCCCACAGTTACATGGCAGCACCAACTGCTGGCTCTAGTTGCCAAGATGACTCTAAAAGGTTTGTTCCACCGGCTTATTATCTGTGGGGCGATCTTTAGCTGGGAAGATCTCCCTGGATTTAACAGTTGTTTCGACAGCAAAGTGCTTTGAGCCCATTTATCCACAAATTACAATCATTCCAACAGGGCAGCCCCACAGGCATTTGGAAACGTGAGGGCTTACTGTAAGAGGAGATGTCGATCTCGTCGGGCAGCTCGGCCACGTTGACCTCGAAGCGGTCCTGCACATCGTTCAGAGTCTTGGCGTCGGTCTCGTCCGACACGAAGGTTATAGCCAGGCCCTTTGTGCCAAACCTACCGGCACGGGCAACCTGACGGGTGCAGAGAAACGCATGTCACAAAAATGGAAAACCGTACACAACGAGCAACTAATACAAAACTGTTTATGGCACCAGACTATTCAAAAATAACCTTTAAAAGAACTTCACAGAATACAAAGATGCTACAAAGAACAAACGTTAAGGTGTGCAGGTATTTCTCCTCTGCAGTTCTCACCCTGTGCAAATAGGTGTCAGAATCTTCCGGCATGTCGTAGTTGAAGACGATGTTGACCCGCTCGATGTCCATCCCTCGGCCAAAGAGGTTGGTGGCCACCAGGATCCGCCGTTGGAAGTCCTTGAATTGCTGATAGCGAGACAGCCTGTGGAGTAAGAATGGGCAGAGCCCGAGGGGGAGTTAAACACAGCTGCTGTAGGCATTACTGGACCGTACCCCCCCACCCCTTTGAAGGCAACGATGTGTTAACTGATGAGGCCTCATGCCCCATAAACATACTCAGCATTCAGAGCTCAATGGAGCTTATGTTTATGAGAGTGGGCATATCAGTGGGGAGATGTGTGTGTGCGTGTCTCACCTCTCCTCCTGAGCCATTCCCCTGTGGATGGCGATGGCAGGGAAGTTCTGTTCCACCAGAAGCTGGGCCAGAGCGACGCAGCGCTGGACTGACTTGACAAAGATCACCACCTAGAGGCAAAGCAAAGGCATTGAAATATGGCTGCTGAGGGAGCGTGGACACGTACAGAATTACAGTGGAAGTTATTGCAGTGACTGAGAAGCTTCAAACTTCTTGCCAAGAGTTAAGACATGAAAGTAGTACGGATCTTTTAATCCACGTTTGATATGAGGCTACGGCCAGCTAGCTGAGCAACAGGAGAGCAGACTGGGACCGGGGAAACCAGCAAATCTAAAAGACAGTTTACGTGTTGTAGCTCGTTCCTTCCACAAAAACTATTTGCTTCTTAATGAGATGCATGTCCTGGACTGTGTTTTTGATTAGAACAGTAACTTCCTGGAGACCCCACTGGTTAGCCTTTACTGGATAGTGACGAGCAAAAGGCCGACAGGAAACAGGAGAAAAGAGACAGAATTTAACCAGCGATGTTGAGGTCAAGAAGCATTTGCTGAAACCATTCAGCTATTAAGGTGCTCCGATATAAAGTATTGAAATGTGTGTGCGTTGTTCAGGAGGCGCTGGTAGGTGGATTTTGTTACCGTTGGTAACATATTTTACAGTTTTCTTGTAAAGCAACATTTCTAGTTCTGTAATCCCAAATTACGGGACTTTCTGTGGAAACCCAGGCATTTAGTGATACAATTAAATGATTTCTTATACAATATATCCTGCTATGTTTGACAACAGCGAACAAAAATTCAAGTGATATAATATGCTACTGGTCGTGCACCGTGTGATGGCTCCATCGATTTACCTGGTTGAACTCCAACACGTCCAGCAGGTCAAAGAGCTTGCGGTTCTTCTCACTGTCCTTCAGCTTGCAGTAGTATTGTTGCAGGCCGTGGAGTGTCAGTTTGGTCTCGTCGTCAACAAATACTTCCATGGGCTGCAACGGATAAGATGATAAGAGACTGTTAGGTAAACTTGTTGAGTTTCTAGTTACATCATCAGCAAGTGGGCAAAACGTGTCAAATCCAAATGTGCAGCAGCTTTGATGCAGAGGCAGTTTTCTGGCTGATAAAATGGTGTTCTGTGAAGTGCTGACGTAACAACACTTACATCCTGCATGAATTTGCGGCACACTGGTCGAATCTCCTTGCTCAGAGTGGCGCTGAACATCATGACCTGCTTCTCATGGGGTGTGATCTTGAAGATGTCCTGCACATCACGCCTCATGTCTGTTTCACAAAGAGAGGCCAGATAGATACAAATGAATACAGAATTAAATAGAGTAACCAGATACCCTGAAGCGGAATCTATGACAAGAAGAAAAAAGAAAAAAAAAAGAAAAAAAAAAAAATCAGCCATCATACAACACACACAAAAATAAAGAAATACGCCTCACCGAGCTGCTCCAACATTTTGTCACACTCATCCAGGACAAAGTGCTTCACGTTCTTCAGGGTGAGGGTCTTGTTGCGGATGAGAGCGAGGATGCGGCCCGGCGTTCCGACCACGATGTGAGGGCAGTTCTTCTTCAAGACATCCTCGTCCTTCTTGATGGCCATGCCGCCAAAGAACACGGCCGCCTTTACCGAGGACATGTACTTGGAGAAACGCTCGTACTCTTTACTGATTTGGAAGGCCAGCTCTCGCGTGTGGCACATGACTAATACGGACACCTGGGGGTTAGACGTACAGAAACGTATTCAGACACTTTGCATTCTGGTATATTATCCAATGCAACAGGACATGTGGGCTCTACTTAATGCAAGCCACGAGTTGAAAGTTGAAGACAGCCCACGGTAAGGCGTCCTTCACTTAATCCAATACATAGACCTGGTGTTTTGAATATGCATACTGACCTGTCCATCAACGGGTTCAATCTGCTGTAGTGTGGCCAGCACAAACACCGCCGTCTTGCCCATACCAGACTTGGCTTGACACAGAATGTCCATGCTCAGGATAGCTTGTGGGATGCATTCATGCTGGACTAAATGGGGAAAAAAACAACACAAGAACATTTTAAGCCAGTGTATTTGTGTCATTAGAACATCAAGTATCTCAAGCTACTGAACAGAGCATGAAGACATGGGACAGCCCTGCTAGTATTGTTATATTTGAATTTATGAGACACATATACGGGCAGTTTGTGTAACGTGGATACAGTAAGGGACATGGCGTTTAAAAAATGAATTCTAATAAAATAATGAATAAAATGTCCCCCACCTTCAGACGGATGCTCAAAACCACAGTCGATGATGGCGCGGAGGAGCTCTGGTTTGAGCAGGAAATCTCTGAAGCCAGAGCTGTGGATGGAGACGTAGGAGCCCTTCACCTCCTTCTTGCCTGCGGGGGCTGCACTCTCTGGGGCTCCTTGAGGCTCCTCATCCTCTTCATAGTCGAGCAGCTCGTTGTCAACATCATTCTCTGCCATTGTGTCTGTCTGAAACAAGGGAAAACAGAAAAAGGTTTTGTCTTTAATCAGGTCCTTCACCTCATACAATGGCTGAACCCCCTCTCTCCTGTTGGTTTAAAAGGGGGGGGGGGGGGCTTTTAACTGAGCCCAGCTGTTGTTGCCACTCTTTGTGCCAGGTTTCACAGCACATTTTAAAGTACATCCAGATAAGATTTGTGTGAAAAGATGCGTTTGTATTCATTATAAGTTTGGTTTGGTAAACTGTGGTACTAGTACTGCTGTAAACACTCGCATCGTTGTGTTCACCCCGCAAAGCCCATTGTAAGACGTGAGGCCATTGAATGAGCTACGCTAGCTAATTTAGCAAAGAAGAGGGTCCACATAAAAGTTTACGCTACAGTTTTTGCTCCGTATGTAAACAAAAAACTGCCTTCGCGTACAAACCTGGTCCAGCGAAGCCTCGGCGTTTACGTTAGCCGACTAAACCGGTTATCATCTGAAACGTTTACAACACCGGGAAGCTATTGTGTTGCATAACAATTGCTAATGTGGCAACCTAACGCGCTATACGGGAGCAATTATTTTGATAATGGACCGGTTGCATCATGCATTCCTCTTGTGAATTAAGTAACTTTAAAAAAAGAAATGTGCGAAATATAAAAAGGATAACTACGCACTCTGAACATTAGCAAATACGAGGGAGAGGGTGCGCTGACGAAGCTAACTAATGCTAGACTACAAAACGCTAGCTAGCCCAGTTACGGTTAGCACTCTAATGCAAACAATAAAGGAAGCTATTTCATTCCAGGCTAGCCACTATGTCGAAATAAACTAATTTGTGACTTCCTGGTCGCCAGTCGAAGTTTTGAGAACTTTCTAGTTGCAACAATGACCAGATATTGAATTATTACCTTGTCGGTGTTAGCTACGCGTCAACCTGAAGATCAAAACCGCATGGGGAGGCCTCAGTTGGTTTATACGAGTAACCGGAAGTCCCGCCCATGCTGAACGGTGTTGATATCATTGGTGGATTCATACGAACATCGAAAGGGGCAGCCAGCGATTGGACAGAAAGTGTGTCGCAGTACACCGCAGTATAAAAAAGCGGGATACAGCTGTATGGAAGACCACGGTAGTTAGATAAATAACAGATAAATACATTATGCAAAATAAAATAAACACATTAATATTGTGCACACATTATATATATATATATATATATTGTATTGTATACAATACAATATATATAATGTGTGCATGTATTGTATATATATATATATATACAATAATATATATATACAATAAACTATATATAATTCATATCTATATATATATATATATATATATATATATATAGAGAGAGAGAGAGAGAGAGAGAGAGAGAGAGGGGGAGAGAGAGAGAGAGAGCATTCTTACACTTGAGTCTTTTCAGCTCTGAAGGACAACCCTTTCTTATTTAATAAACTATGGAAGCCTTACTGTAGAAACCACTGTACATGATGTATATTTCTGATAAAACCAGCACTGTGACTGGTATTAATTTTATTTGTATCTATTTTATTGAATTTATTCATTCATTCAGTTTCTTCTCCCCTCCTTCTGTTATGCCAAAAATGTAAATACAAATATTTTTGGAAAAAAATTCCCCTCAAGTGGTCACAGTGAGAAACTCCTGGCTAACACCACAGTGCTAATATCGGTAACATTGTTAGTAATGTGCACAACTCATTATAAGAGTGATTATTGCAAACAACAGAAACGTCAGTATTGTTAATAATTGTGTTAATAAAGAGCAGTTTGATTTTTACGTTTTTCTGGTTTGGAGACCATGACCTGCTAGAAATGGTTAGACCAGCATCAGGTCGGACTTGATAGCATGTTAACCCTTTTGGTGAGTACTTTTCACAATAAAGTGACCAAACAATGGCATCAAAAATAAATACGTTTATTGTTCTTTAGTGGTTGCAGTTAGAAACAACTTCACACTCTTCAGTGGGAATAATACCGATATTTATACTGTGTATTGTTATTATTTGGACATATAAATTAGTGTATTTATTTTCATGTCAACACTAATTTGAGTAGTTTCTGTATTAATAATATATGCTTTGTTATCAAACAACACAAATCTTTTTGCCATGTTATATTCAGAGAGATCCCTGCAAGAAATACTACATTTGTGAATGTTTTTTCTCCTTATTTATTCATAATCATTATTCAACCCTACAACACCCGCAGATGGTCTCCTCATCGATCTCAGGAAAAAGAAGTTGTCTATAGTAGCCTAAGTGCAAAACATTCTAAAAAAAATAGTAATGAGGTAAACAGCGGTGGTGTATTTAGCATGTTTCAGTCCATTCCTGCAAGCCTTTGGTTGCCACTAATTTAGTTAGTAATTAGTGTGGTATAAAAATCAATGTGCAGAATGTGTACTGATAATGGTTGTTAAAGCCTCACATTAAAATGACCAACAGGAAAGCTGCCTTCTAAAAGAACGTGCTGGTAAACATTTTGCCGAAAGCATTGCAAAAGCAAATCCCGCAAATCAATGCTGGGATACTTATATCTGTGATTCCAGAGCGGAAGAGAAACTCCACTGTGTAGGAGAGAAGTATGGGAAACTGTCCGAATCTGGGCGGGAATGACCCTCTGAGTGAGTACCAGAGGGGGCGCAAGAACGACTCAGGAAGGCCCTGACCTGTGGAGGCAAAGAAAGAAACAGCCAGTCCTCCACTAGGAGACCACCTCCGTGCAGCCCTGTGCAGCAGCCCAATTCAGCAGGCAGTTCCTCCAGACTGTTACTGCGCAAGTCCAACCTGCACAACAGACTTAAAGCTGCGATCCCCCTGGGTAACGAGTTAAGAGAGTTGCGAGCAACATTAAGGATGTGCAGCTCCAAACAGCTACTGAAGAGCTGAGGGGGGAGGCTCTCCACCCTGTTCCCACTGAGGTCCAGCTCTGTAAGCAGCTGCAGTGCCTTTACATCTGCGGGCAGCACCTCCAGCAGGTTACCAGCCACCAGGAGTCTGCGAAGGCAGCGGAGAGTGAAGAGCGCTGGGGGGAGGCTCTGAAGCTGGTTGTTGGATAGATCCAGGATCTCCAGGCCTCGCAGCACACCAACGCTGGCCGGCAGTGCCAGAACGCGATTGTAGGCGAGCCTGAGGCAAGAAAGACGCCGCAGATGAGCCAGGCTAAGCAGTTCCTCCAGTGTCCTCAAGTTATTGTGCTGCAGGTCGAGCGTCCGCAGGTTGGCGAGAGCCAGCAGGGCCGAGGGCAAACGCTCCAGCCGGCAGTCCTGCAGCAGCAGCTCGGTCAGGTCGACCATGCGCTTCAGGCCTGTCAGCACGAGCAGCCGGGTGCCCTCATTGTAGATCTCCAGCCTCAACAAGCTGCCGGCCACCTCGCACAACTCCCCGGGGATCCGCTGTAGCATGCCTCGGATCACCAGCACACGGAGGTGACGCAGTTGGCGGAGGCTCCCCAACGCCCAGCTGCGGCCCACACCGCCGTCACTGCTCAGGCGGCCAGAGAGGTGGAGCTCGTGCAGGCTGCGGAGGGAGAGGACCCAGCTGGGGATCTCTGACGCCTGAGTAAAGGTGAGGTGGAGGACCTCCAGATGTTCTTGGAGGACTCTGAGTGCACCAGGATCCACTGCTGCTGTGCAATGATAGAGGTGGAGCTCCCTGTTGGGTAAATAAACAATAAAAGACTTGCATATGTACGTCACAGCGTTCTGCTTTTTAACAAAATGTCTAGTTATGGCTTTTGATTTGCATTGTTTAAAATGTGTGAAGGTTGACTGCACTGCGAAACCCACCTGAGTGAGGTCATGTTGGCCACCTGTGCAGTGAACCTGGCATCTGTGATGAGCTCCAGTTGGAGGACCTGAAGCTGGCTGAGGGTGAAGAGGGCCGGAGGGAGACGAGGCAGGGCCACCAGCTGCAGTCTGGAGAAGCCCTCTGCGTCCACGCTAGTCATGGCATGCAGCTTCTCCTCCCCCCAGCGCCTCTCCAAGCTTTCCTCCAGCAGCCTGCTCTCACTGACAGGAGACAAAAAGACGGACAGACGCTGGGCCAGCAGAGGATCATACTGGTCCAACATGTGTAAAAGAAAGGCCAGGTCATTTCTCAGGTCAGGAACATCTCTCAGGGAGCACAACTCCTTCAGTGAGTGGAATGAATACTGCCGTAGAGGGCTAAGTAGGGCACAGAATAAGAAATATATCACACAGTCACGCCAAACACAGCTTTACACTCTAATCCTATTATCAGGCCTCTGGTATGCCTTGAAGGCCCTTTGAACAATCACTCAAGTCCCAACACATTTTGAATCAACCATTTTACATGTTCATTTTGTTCATATGCAACAAATTACATATTCAAATGATTCAAAAGTTCACATGCTCTAAACCAAGTTACTACAAATCGCTGCCAATACGTTTCAAAAGTTCATCATCAAGTGTGATCATCAATGCGTCCGGAGTTGAAACTCACAGCAATTAATCTATACGCATTCCAGAACACATGGAGCAACATTTGTATTCATTTTAGGGTCGAGTTTCTGGCCACCTGTTGCATCTAAGTTCGTTATTTAGCTGTCCTTTAAGCTCTGTTTTGGTCTCCTCCGACTCCATCAAGGTAATATCTGGCCCTCAAGCAGCTAAATGCTTCACTCTGGCAACCAGCTAGTAGCTAACCTTGTCTCACATTTCATGCCGGAGATGGTATCGTGGGTATATCAGAACTCCATTTTCTGAAAGCAGCTACTTGTTGCTGGAAATGAAGTCGATGAGAGCGGTGAGAGTGAACCAAAATAGTGAAGTTACGGGCCTTAAAACCAAAACAATGACTCGAAAGACACTGAAAAACTCTGCAGAGCTGAAAGGATTTGCAGAGTTGAGTGCTAACTCTATGTGGGTCCTTCATTGCAAACCACCCCTTCAACACTGCATGTAATAAATTTATCGTTTTTTAATGTATAAATATATACATATATATATGAATTAGTGCAGCTTTAAAGTTTTAATCAAAATATACAGTTCTTGGGGTATTTTTACACATATCCCTGTATACTGGGTTAGAGTGACACCAATACACTAACCTGTGTAAAATCCAGCCGAGGGTGTAAAAGTTAAGCAGGCCGTACAGCCCCAGTAGTGACAGGTAAGCCACCAGCAGTTTGCGTAGAAGGGAGGAGAGCACATGGATACACTCAAAGGTAGCGTAGCCCACCAAGGCCTGCTCCTCAGGGTGACAGGTGTGGGTGAAGGAGAGGGAGCTCAGAAGAGGGATGGTGTAACTCAAGATCAGCGTCACCATCAGCAGTTTCAATATTGTCTGAGCCAAGTAGACCTGAATAGATAAAAGGGAGGTATAATGAACAAATTGACATCATTCGATCAAGCCTGATCAAACATTGACTTGTTTTGTGAGTTTAAACTCCTGCACTTTTAAAGGTCTACTCTAGTGTGTAAGATTTGGCGTCGTCTAGTGGTGAGGTTGCAGATAGCAACTAACTGAAACTTTTCCCGTGAACCACGTATTTTCCCGTATAGGAGAACTATGGTAGCCGACACAAAAACAAAAAAAAAGTAAATGGCCCTATCTAGAACCAGTGTTTGATTTGACCGTTCTGGGAACTATAAAGACGACCTGCTCCGTATGTAGATATAAATGATATAAACGATTCTTATTTTCAGGTGATTATGCACTAAAGAAAACATACTTAATAATATTCTAATTCAATTCGGCCAATGGATACCCCATAAATCCAACACACTTGACCTTTAAAATAAAAAAACAGCAGGTTGCTATAACTATAAAGTCCTATAACATCACATCATAAAACATTTTTGGATGATAAAAAAACTCAAAGGAAATGTTTCACCAGTTAAGCTAACAGACAAAACACAAATAGATGATATCATATATAAACCATCTAGACTAGAGGATGTCTCACCTTATAGATGACATCTGAGCTTTCGCAGTGTGACCGAAACTTCCTGACCCTT